TGACCCAGGGATTGAACCCAGGTCTCCCACAATGCAGGCAGATTCTTTATGGTCTGAGTCACCAGACTCTAAACCAAGCCCCCAAACCCTATGAAATAGTATCTTTGGTTATCTCCATTCTACAGATGAACAAACCAAGGTCCAAAGAGGTTATGTATTAATAAGTTATGTTCACAACTTACTGGATGTTCCCCAGCCAGGAAATGGTACAGTTAGAATGTATATCACGTTTTTAGTGTACGTCCACATAAATAAAAGCAAATTTCTAGCTGTTACTATATCACCCCCCAAATGACTATCCTGGTGTGAACAACAGGACACAGAGAAGATTCGCTTTGGGAGCCAACAAGAGGCAGAAAGGCTGAGACTGAGCTGTGAGAGATCAGGGTAACCACAGACCAGGGGGTACATGAGCCCCAGATTCAAATGGGGCTCTGGGACACCCTCGGTGAAACGGCTCTATGTGCTTGTCTTTTTTTACCCGCCAGCCAGCCAAGTGGTTGGAGTTTTCTCAGGGGGATTTGAGCGGCCCCAGAGGAAGAACAAAAGATGCTAGCGTCTGGCAGGTCCCAGCATACAGAGCAAGATGCAGGAAAGTGGGTGTGATGTGCTGCCTTGCTGGGGGAGGGGGTGAGGGGAAAGAAGATTAAAAATAAACACATGCAAATGTTATCGGTGCAGAGAGCTGTGCGTTCCGTTCTGTGCAGAAGGCACTAGCCACATGGGGCTACTGAAATTTCCATTCATGTAATTCAATGAAGAATTCAAGGGACTTCCCTGGCAGCCCAGAGGTTAAAACTCTACACTTCCACTCCACTGGGGCATGGGTTGGTTCCTTGGTGGGGGAACTAAGGTCCTGCAAGTCACAACTTAAAAATCCGGCACAGCACAGCCAAATAAAATAAAAGACTTCAGTTCCTCAGTCAGACTGGCCATATTTCCATATTTCAAGCACTCAATAGCCACATGAGCTAGCCTACTGGACAGCAAGACACAAATCATTTCTAGAATCACAGAAAGTTCTGCTGGACAGCACTGGGCTATAAAACAGAAAGAGACAAATGAATAAGCCACTGACTACTCCAGCAGCCTCTAGGGAGGAGCCCTGAGGGACAGGATATGAGAAGGGGACTTGTCACTACATACCCTTCGTACCTTTTGAATTTAGGACCATGTGAATGTCTTACATATGCAAAACACCAGTATTTAAATTTTTATTTTAAAAGGAAGAGCCCTTTCACTACTCCGTGTCTTGGTTTTCTAGAATTTCTTCATTTCTTTCAAAAGTATTAAGGCAAGTCGACATATAATCCTGCAATCCCACTCCTGGGCATATATCCAAAGAAAACTGTTCATTTGAAGAGATACATGCACCCTCATGATAACAGCAGCATTATTCACAGGAGCCAAGACATGGAAGCAACCTAAATGTCCATGGACAGAAAATCAATGGATAAAGAAGACGTGGTGTGTGTGTATATATACATATATATGTGTGTGTGTGTATATATATATATATATTTACATATATATAAAAAATGGGTTTCCTAGGTGGCATTAGTGGTAAAGAACCTGCCTACCAATGTAAGTAGACATCATATACCCAGGTTCAATGCCTGGGTTGGGAAGATCCCCTGGAGGAGGGCACAGCAACCCACTCCAGTATTCTTGCCTAGAGAATCCCGTGGACAGAGGAGCCTGGTGGGCTACAGTCCATGGGGTGGGAAAGAGTCAGAGATGACAAAGCGACTTAGCGTACACACACACACACACACACAGGTGCGCGCGCGTGTGCGTGCACAATGGAATATTACTCAGCCATGAAAAAGAAGGAGGTAATGCCATTTGTAGCATCATACATGGACCTAGAGATTATCATCCTAAGTGAAGTAAGCCAGACAGAGAAAGACAAACATCATATGATAATGCTTATATGTGGAATCTGAAAAAAGCATACAAATGAACTTCTTCACAAAACAGACATAAACTCAAAGACTTAGAAGCAAAAAGACTTATGGTTACCAAAGGGGAAAGGCAGGGGGAGGGATAAACTAAGAGTTTGGGATGAACATACACACACCGTGCTGTGCTCTGGTTAGTCGCTCGGTAGTATCCGACTCTGTGTGACACCATGGACGGTAGCCCACCAGGCTCCTCTGTCCATGGGATTCTCCAGGTAAGAATACTGGAGTGGGTTGCCATGCTCTCCTCCAGAAACATATACACATTACTATATATAAAAGAGATAAGCACCAAAGTTGAGTATAACACAGGGAACTAAACTCAACATTTTGTAATAACCTATAAGGAAAAAGAATAGCTATATGTATATGCATAACAGAATCACTGCTGCATACCTGAAACTAACACAACACTGTCAATCAACTATACTTCAACTGAAAAAAATTAAGGCAGGGCAAGTCACAGACCCAGGACCAACCTCAGTTTAGGCTGGATTTCATGACAGCCTCCAAACTGGGAGCTAAAAGAATGACCCACTGACTTTGAAGTCTTTCCAATATGAACATGCTGCTTCTTGCAGCAGTGACCCTACACAGGGTGTTTCCAGGTAAGAGCTGGAACTGACAAGGAGGGGCGGGAACCTCATTTCCAAATTGAGGGATATACAGAGTGGTAAAGAGTATGTCCTTGGATCCAGACTGTGGGTCTGAAGTCCAGCTCTGTCGCTAAGTAGCTGTGTGACCTCCGGCCAATTACTTGCCCCCTCTGTGCCTCAGTTTCCTCATTTGCAAAATGAAAATGAGGATGGTGAACTCCTTCCTTGTCGTGTGCTGGTGAGATTTTAAACAAATTACAATTTATAAAGCACTTAGGGTAGTGCCTGGCACATAGTAAATCCCTGATTAACATTAGTGAAATTATCAATATTACGTGTGGACAGAGGGCTGGGTGTGAAAGAGGGCTTGTTACTGGGCATGAGATGGGGATGGGAAGAGTGCTTGGACTTGATTCTAGAGAGTGGGTTTATTACTGGGAAGGGTTAATTTTGACTCCTTGCTGTTTCTATGACTTTAACCCTTGTTTTTTTTTTTTTTTTTTGCTGTTTTTGTTGTTTGTTATATTCATACATGATGGCCTGCCTCAGAGAACCCTGTCTCCTTGGTCTGACCCTTAAGCTAAAGTGCCTTTGTTTAGCTCACAGGGAGATAACCTGCCCCTACCTACCTATGAATGACTGTAAAGAAAAACTAACACATTCTCTTGCCTGAGACTTGCCATTCTAGGAGGTATTTTCAAGAATTAAATGGTCTTTTAAACTTGTTTCCTCACCTCCCTCCATCTCCTATCCATAAAAGAACATCCAGGCCCTGAGAATGTTACCAAGTCCAAGCTCGCTCTGCTTGCTGCACAATAGGCCAATGAATCCAAGAGATAAGGTGAGGTGTTGAGGCAAGGAAGAGACTTTAATCGGGGAGCCAGAAGACAGAGAAGATGGCAGGCTAGCACCTCAAAATAACCATCTTACTGGGGTCTGGACACCAGGTTGTTTTACAGATCAGAGAGAAAGAGGCAATAAGGAACTAAAGTCAAAAGGCAGAATAGAGAGGGAGATGCAGTGGGGAAGTAAAGTGAGAGGGTCTTCAGTCTTGCAAAACATCTCCAAGGGAATGTCCAACCTTCAGAAGAGGTGTGTTAATCTCTTCTATTCACAGGTGGGCAGGGACAAACTATCTCTCCAGGAGCTGAACAAAGGCACTTTAGTTTACAGTCAAGCAGAGGGGCAGGGTCCTCCAGGCAAGCCACTGAGTATGATTATAATAATAAAAGCAAGTCAAAGAAAAAGTTTTCAACATGGAGTCAGAACTGGCTTCCTCCTGGTAACTAAGAAGATGGTTATTTTGATACATTAGTCTGCCTTCTTCTCGGTCAGCTAGCTTTTGGCATAAAGTCATAGTCCTTCCTTCAACACCTCGTCCCTTGGATTTATTGGCCTCTCATGCAGCAAGCAGGGTGAGCTTGGATTTGGTAACAGGTTCACACCTCATCTTTATCCTGAGTTGGGACCTCTTCCATGCATGAAAGAAAAGCACAGCCAGAAGGAGAAAGAAGAAACCAATCTTCTTTCCTCCTCCCTTCTCTCCCTCCCTTCCTTCCTTCTTTCCCTTCAAGTCCTCCCTGGCTTTGAAGTCGGATCAAAGCAGCAGAGAGATTCCTCACTGAGGAGCAGTATTCTCACTGTTCCTCCAGCACCTGGATCTCCCCCAGCATCAGAGCCTCTGCAACGACTGTTCCCTCTGCCTGGAACCCGCTTCCTTCTGAAGACAGAATGGTGGTGGTGGTGGGGTTCCCTCCCTCCAGTCTGTCTCCTCAGCTTCACCATCATGTCCTCACAGAGGCCTTCCGTGACCACTCACATTAAAAGAGCCCCCTTACAATGGTCCCTGTCCACACCCTTCCCCTATTCTCCTTTACGATTCTTCCCCAACCCCCGCAACCCCCATTCATCTTGTTAGGTAGTTAGAATAGGGAAAAGGAGTCCAAAATGGCGGTGGCTAAAAGACAAGGAAGGGGAAAGCCCGCGAAAATAGAACAGAGGAAGGTCAAAGGAAGGTCCAAGGACCGGAGTGAGGACTTCAGGTAGAACAGCGCTCCTGCCCAAGCCCAATTTGCATAGGGCAGGCCCAGGGGGAAGAAAAAAAAAATATAAAAAGAGGAGCCAAAGGGCTCTCTCTCTTTCTCTCTCTCCCATGTGTGCGTAGGTTCTTTCTCTTTCTGTCTCTCTCTCCACAGCCCCCCAAGGTTCTACTGCAGGGCGCGATCCTAGAGGATGAGTTCTCTGAGGGACTGTGTGTGTCTTGCTGGGCCGCCTCTCACCCCCATCGCGTGCCTCCATAAGTGCTGAATGAATGCGGAAAGGAATGAAGGAAAGAAAGACAAGAATGAATGAATGGGAGGATGGACGGACGAATAAAGGAAAGACCCACGAGACCTGGGCGTGGCTCTCCCCCGCCCCACGCCTGCCTCTCGCGAGACCCCACCTTGGCCTCAGGGTCGGTGCGGAAGAGCCCCTCGAGCACGTGCAGGGCGTCCAGGACGCCGTGGTCGCGGCCTTTGCAGTAGGAGAGCAGGCGGCGCACGTCGGCCGGCGCCACGAACTGCTTGGAGATCTTGTTGGTGGTGCGCACGGGCAGGCAGGCGTTGGCCAGCAAGTGGCCCGGGCGGAAGTAGTAGGCGAACTCCAGCGGGCAGGCCGGGTGTGAGTGGGTCAGCTGGCACTCCGTCACCACGAGGCGGTCCCGCAGCGGGCTCAGCTTGACGATGATGAAGGCCGGGCAGCCAGGCTGGGGGGGCCTGCGGAAGGATCACGGCGCCAGTCACATCACCCCGCTGCCCGCCCTCTTCTGCCCTCTCTCTCTCTCTCCTTTATTCTTAGTTTTTACCAGTAAGAATTGTTTCAAGGTGGGGGACGGATCCATTCAGTATGAGTTCCGGATTAAAACATACACAGTACTAAAATAAAATAAATACACTACTATATATAAACTAGATAACCAACAAGGACCTACCGTATAGTGCGGGAACCTATACTCAATACCCTGTCATAACCCACAATGGAAAAGAATCTTAAAAAAAAAGAATATATGTCTTAACTGAATCTCTTTGCTGCACACATGAAACTGACACAACACTTAATCAACTATCTTTCAATAAAATTGTTTTAAAAATAATTGTTTTGAGCATAGAGAAGAGTAGAGGGCCTTAAGAATATGCCGGCTGTGTGACCTTGGGCAGGTTGCCTCAGGTCTCCCGGCCTCAGTTTCCTCTTAAAAGGGAGGTAAAAATCATACATTTCTCATAGGGTTGTTGTGAGGATTAAAAGAGTTGCTACCTGGAAAGTATTGGAAAACAGTGTCTGGAACATGGGGGAGTGCTGTATATTTGCTAGAATTCTGTATCCACCACCCCCAGCTCTATTAAAAGTGAATGCATGGTTTATTTTACCTACCTTAATCAATTGGAAGAAATACAACATTTCATATACTCCCGTATCCGCTTCTGACTTAGCAATAACAACATTGCAAGCTGAGGCCTTCTGTGAACTCTGTCCCAACAAAATCCCCTCCATCCTTCTGTCCCTAGAGGTAGCCACTCCCCAAAGGGGGGTACTGAGCATTCCCACATGTGATTTTATGTATTCATAAGCAATAGAAAGTATGTTACTAGGTTTTAAAACTTTGTACACATGAAAAGGTGCTCAAACTGGTTAGGTATCAAAGGAACACAAAACTTGACGATGAAACATCTATATTATATATAGATGTAGATACAGATATGGTGGAATATTACTCAGGCATAAAAATAAAATAATGCCGCTTGCAGCAATATGAATGTACTTAGAGACTACTGACATTAAGTCAAAGACAAATATACAACACTGCTTATACGTGGAACTGAAAAAAATGACACAAGCTTATTCACAAAACAGACTCAAAGACATATAAAACAAAGTTATGGTTCCCAAAGGGGAAGTAGGAAGGGGGTGGGGTAACTTAGAAGTTCGGGATTAAAGTATACACACTACTATATATAAAGTAGGCTCCCTGTTGGCTCAGTGGTAAAGAATCTGTCTGCAATGCAGGACACACAGTTTTGATCCCTGGGTAGGGAAGATCCCCTGGAGAAGGAAATGGCAACCCACTCCAGTATTCTTGCCTGGGAAATTCCATGGACAGAGGAGCCTGGTGGGCTGTGGTCCATAGGGTTGCAAAGAGTCAGACACAACTGAAGCAACTTTGCACGCACACATGCCCACAAAGACTGTCACATCTTAGTCAAAGGAGCTGTGCAAATGTTATTGTATAGGGCAAACAGACTTTGCAAATATGATTAAATTCGGATTTGAGATGAGGAGATGGTACTAGGTTATGCAGACGGGCCCAGTGGAATCACAAGGGTCCTTAAATAAGGGGAAAAATGAAAGAGGAGCATCAGAGTCAGAGAACGATTGAAAGATGCTATACTGTTGGCTTTGAAAAGGGAGGAAGAGGCTGCAACCAAGGAATTGGGGTGGGCTCTAGAAGCTGGAAAAGGCAACGAAACAGATTCTCCCCTGCAGCCTCCTGAAGAAACACAACCCTGCAGACAACTTGATTTAGCCCACTGAGACCCATGTTGGACTTCTGACCTTCAGCAGTGTAAGATCACACATCTGTGTGATGTGTGTGGTAAGCCACTATGCTTGTGGTAATTTGTTACAGCAGCAACTAGAAACTAATACAAGCATCACACTCTGTATAGCCTTTCGTAGCTTTCTCACTCATTAGCTCTCCATGACTTTTCTCTTTCATTATTTGCTGCCTAATATTCCACTCTACAACTATGCCAACTGTTAGGTTGTCCCCAGTTCTCCCTTCTTACAGACAACACGTAAGCTAACACTCCCTTACACATCTCTATGTGTGTGAGCAAAAGCCCATCTCAGACAGAAGTTTTCAAACTGCAGGGTATGGCCTATCCTGGCACCTGGCATCAACTTAGGGAATGCCATCCAGCACGGTGAAAAACAGAAGAGAATAAGGGAAAAGAAAATCAGGGTACCAAAAAAAGAAAAAGAAAAAGAAAATCAGAGTGTATTTCTCTGATAATATTTAAATTGACATCTGTTGTCCAAAAGTGGGGGCCGTGTTTCTCCATGGGGAGGTGAGACTGGCATTTTTGGTAGATTTCACATTTATAGAGCAGGGGTCATCAAACGTACAGGTCCTGTTGTACCATAGACACAACCATGGATGATATGTAACTGAATGGGTGTGTCTGTGTGTCAAAAAAACTTTATTTACAGGGATGAGCTGCAGGTTGCATTTGGCCCCAGGGCTCCTAGTCTGCCAACCCTTCTAACATAGACCATCTGGGGCCTGGTAGAGTTAAGAAGGCTCCTGGGTGGTAAATGCCAGTAGCACACCCCAACCCCTAAATGCTCCCACGTTCTTTCTAAACAGTCCTTGAGGAGGGTGATCCTTCTCAGGATCAACCTGAGAAACCTCCAGTCTAAATACTTGGAATTGTCTCTGTTAAATCGGAGACAATTCTTTTTTTCCCCTCTATGCACAAAGTAGAATCCAAGAGTTTAAGAGATTTTAAAAATCCACAAAAAGCATTTGAGACTTTTTGCCTAACAAAGTAACAGAAAGAATGCAAATTTAGAAAAATCTTCAGTGTACAAATCATTCTAAATAAAATATAAATGTGAAGCCACCCCGATGGGCTTCCCTGGTGGCTCAGATGGTGAAGAATCTGCCTGCAATGTGGGAGACCTGGGTTTGATCCCTGGGTTGCAAAGATCCTCTGCAGAAGGGTATGGCAACCCATTCCAGTATTCTTGCCTGGAGAATCCCTATGGACAGAGGAGGCTGGTGGGCTACAGGCCATGGGGTCACAAAGAGTCAGACACGACTGAGCGACTAAGCACAGCACAGTGGAGCCACCATGGTGGTAACCGATGAAACTCACAGAATTTCCAACATGCAGCCATTTCTGATCTAAACAAATGACAAGTTCATGGGGTTCTACCCAGTACATTTGTCTAGGAAAACTCATGGGCTTTCTCTCTGGTCTGACCTCTTTGGGCCTGGGTGTTTCAGCCCCTAGAACAAGCCCCAACTCTGGGGAAGCCATGTATCCAGAAGAACGGATGTACCAGAGAATGGCACGTGCCCTCTATGGGGTCCCAGTATGTCACACAATGGTCTATGGCAGCCTCAACATGCCACTTCTCTCCATCTAACTGGGGGAATAATATCATGAGCCCCTCTCACTGTCAGCTCCACATGGGCAGGAATTTTAGTCTGTTTTGTCTACTGCTGGATCCTCAACACCTAGAACAGCTCTGGCCCCTGGGAGGTGCTCAGTAATATATGAGTGAATGACTGTATGCCACTGTCTGAACCCCAGGTACACCCCTGATTACTCATCCCACCAAAATCACCCACCACCAAGTCCTGCCAATCACACCTTCTAAACTCCAAACCATTCATTCCCTCCCCTTTCCATTGCAACCAACCTACCATAAGTTCTTTCCCTCTTCATGTAACATCCTTCTCCCTTCTTTTCATCTAGATAACTCCTACTCATCCTTCACAACTCAGAGCCAGCATCACTTCCTCCAGGAAGCCCTCCCTGACCATCCCTGGGCAGATTCCATCACAATATTGGCATGATTTGATTGATGCGCATCTGTAATGAATGCTCCCCACTGAAATCACAGCACCTAAAACACATACACCCTGCATATAGTAGATGCTCAAAACAAAACTCGATGAAATGAATAAATGCAAGATGCCTAGGACCAAAATATCCTTAGGGTGTCAGCACATTCAACTCTCACATTAATGATCCATGATTGAAATAAAGATGAGAGGAAAAAGAGGGAGATAGGATGGTAATTAAAAGCCTGGGTTTTGTGGTCAAATTGTGTGGGTCTAAATTCTGGTTTTCCCTCTTAGCAGCTGTGTTATTTTGGGAAAGTCTTTTAACCTCTCTGTTCCTCAGTTTTCTCATCTGGAAATAGAGGCTAATAATCATACTGACCTTGCAGGGTCGTTGAGGATTCAGTGAGATGATTAAAATATATGGTGAGAAAGGGGGCTGACATCTAATGAACATTTAATTAAAAAGTAGCTGCTATTTTCAAACATCTTTTTTTCTTCTAAAAGTACCCTTCCTAGGACTTCCCTGGTGGTTCAGTGGTTAGGACTCTGCACTTTTGCTGCCCAGGGTGCAGGTTCCATCCCTGGTTGGGGAACTAAGATCCTGTAAGTCTTGCCATCAAAAAAAGTACCGCTGCTGTGTTCTGCATTCCACTCACACAGTTCTTCTGGATATTTCAGGTTCTCAAGATCTTTGTGTTTTCAAAGGCTGGTGTGTGTTGGGAAAGGTTGGGAGTTCTGTTCTAAAGAGGGGAGTGCTGTGAGAGCTGGGGGAGATACACCAATGGTGATTTGGGGGTCACTGTGCAACCTCCAGGAAAGGATGGGCTAGAAAGATGGCCCTTCTGTGTGTTTCCTGGACCCTCAGCCCCAGCTGCCTCTCTGGTCTCTGGTTTCCCAAATCTAGTCCATCCCCTATCAGGCCCCAGAGGGTTTTCCTACCCCCAGAGCTGACCCTGCTCACAGCCCCATGGAGCACCAGCATGAAGTCCCAGCTCTTAGACTCAGCTCTGCAGGTCCAGGCCTGACACCATTCCAGCCATGTCTCCGGACCTTTCTCATGAACTAAATACCCAGACACTGTCCTCGGTCCCTGGACACTGGAGAGGCCCTGCCTGAGCAGCTGGAGGGAATACGGGGCTCAGAAGTGATGGGCCCCCATGTCCTCAGCCACTTCATCAACCACCTCCATTCCCAGGCTCTGCATCCTGGGACCATCCCACTGTCCTCCCAGTCACCAGGCTCAAGCCCAAGGCACAGTCCTTGCTCCCTTGATGCTCTGTCACTCCCTCCCATCCCTCCTGCCACCGGGTCCCTCTGAAATGTGTAGAGGGACAGTGCCTGCATGTAGTATGTGCCATGTGTTTTTTAAGTCACAAACATACATAACACAAACATATAGAGAAAATACCACCTACTGGTCACCTCTTCCAGGAAGCCTTCCGGATCTACCCTGGGAGCTCTCGGTAGAGCTGATCATTCCTCTTTAATCCTCCTCCATCTTTCTCATTTTTTGTTGTTGTTGTTGTTGTGGTGGTGGTGTTTTGTTTGGTCGCTAAGTTGTGTCCAACTCTTTTATGATCCCATGGACTATAGCCCCCCAGGCTCCTCTGTCCATGGGACCCTCCAGGCAAGAATACTAGGGTGGGTTGCCATTTCCTTCCCCAGGGATGGAACCTGCGTCTCTGCGTTGGCAGGCAGATTTTTCACCACTGAACCACTAGGGAAGCCCATCTTTCTCGTTACTTAGGGCCATTTTTTGGGGGTGGTGGCCTTTGTCTCCTCCATTAGATTCCTGAGCTGCTCAAGGGCAGACGTCAGCTCTCTGGGTTCCACATGCCCTGTGGAGAGCATGAATACAGTGGGGGCTAAGTGTCTGTTGCTTTCAATTGGGTTCTGTTAACGAGGAGAAAGAAACAAGGAGAGATTCCAGATTGTGCCTGAGCTCCCAACAAGCTCTCATGTTCTAGGTATCCGGGTGATAATGAGTGTTTGATACTGTTCTACTTCTAGCCCTCCAAGTCTGTTTCTAGAATAAGCAGTGGGTAAGCTACTGAAAAGACCCTGATGCTGGGAAAGATTGGGGGCAGGAGGAGAAGGGGATGACAGAGGATGAGATGGTTGGATGGCATTGCCGACACAATGGACATGGGTTTGGGTGGACTCCGAGAGTTGGTGATGGGCAGGGAGGCCTGGCATGCTGCAATTCATGGGGTCGCAAAGAATCGGACACGACTGAGTGACTGAACTGAACTGAAGCTACTGAGAATAATCCTCACAATAAAAGCTTAATCAACTCTGGATGAGAACTGTAGTTACTAAGCAATCACCTGGGCTGAATGATCTCAATCTATTCGCTCATTGAATCCTCACAAAACCTATTGATCAACACTATCGTGTGTGTATGTGTGCCAAGTTGCTCCAGTCATCTTCAACTCTTTGTGACCCTATGGACTCTAGCCCTCCAGGCTCCTCTGTCCATGGAATTCTCCAGGCAAGAATACTGGAGTGGGTTGCCCTGCTTTCCTCCGGGGCATCTTCCTGACCCAGGGATCGAACCAGCGTCTCCTGCATCTCTTGCATTGTAGGTGGATTCTTTACCACTGAGCCAACTGGGAAGCCCATTAATATATTACTTCTCCCATTTTCCCAGGGAGGTAACTGAGGCCCAGAAAGGGGATGTCACAAGCTCAACATCACGGGCTGATGAGCAGTGGAGCTGTGGGGGGCCCCAGGCTGCCGGCTTCGGGCTCTGTGCATGTGACTGCTATAACAGTTCTTATGTATTGAGCTGCCCCGTGTTCCAGGCACTGGAAAGCCGCCTTCCTGTTCATGGTAACCTTACAACAGCCCTCTCCACAGATGAGAAAACTGAGGTTTGGAGATGTGAAGTTTGCTGCCCAAAGAGACCCACCCAGGAAGTGGTAGAGCCAGTCTCAAGCAGCCTACAGGCAGAGCCTGTGTTAAGCGAAGCTCTCTGTCCCCGGCTCCCCATCCAAGGGTCTCCAACTCACACACGGGCAGGGGCCAGACAGACGAAGGAAGTGGCAAAGGAGGAGGTGGCAGAGAGTGGTGGGGTCTGGGGCAAACCTGAGAGCCAGATTGGGGTGGCTGTCTGCCACATGGGAACAAGGTCTCAGCCTCCTCCCGAGTCACAAGGGAAGCTGGAAACCCAAGACAGTATGGGGAATGTGCAGGGTCAGTTAAAATACCCCTGGCCACTTGGTTGTGCCTCCTAGTCCTCTTGGATTCCTCAAGCCCTCTGAAGCATTACAGTTAGAGGGAACTATTATCCGTGAGCTTGTTCATATCATGTCAGTCTTCTCTCGCTTTTGAAAGCAGAAGGGCTGGGAATTTGTCTGTCTTGCTAAACTCCCCACCTCCCCAAAGTGAAATATCCCTACCTCCTGGCAGGGGACCTAGCCTGTATTTACTGAATGCATGGATATTTTTTTTTTGACTATTTTTGTCCTGTGGCTTTCTCTGCAGCTAGCCTCTTTATAGGTGTCCTAAATCTGGCTCTCATCTGTTTTTCTGGCTGGCTGGTGTCTTTGGTGCTATGTCTCCATGTTTTGGGAATTTTCTTCTTTAATGTCTCTTGGGTGTGTGTGTGTCTGTCTCGCTCTGTGCCTCTCCACGGGTCTCTAATAAAACCTCTAAGTGGAGGCCACACTTTGCAAGTGGCTCTCCATCCCTCTAGCAAACTGCCTCTGTCTCAGGAAACTTCCCTCCTTGACCCTCTTAGTCTCTCTTCAAGGTGTATTTAGCGGTTTCATTTGACATCTCTCCCCTCCCGGTCTCCCGGGTGCGGGCTCGCTGCTTCCCCCTCCCCCAGGACGCACAACACCCCCCCGCCAGCCCCCAGCCCGGCTCACGCACCCCACGGCGGGCCGGCTGGGCGCGCGCACGTCCTTGCACACCAGCCGCACGTAGCTGTACTTGAGCACGTCGATGAGCGTGTAGAGCGGGGGCGCGCTGGCCCAGCGGCAGCGCGCCAGGTGCATGGAGCTCTTGACGAAGAAGAGTGCCAGCCGCTGCTGGCACCACGCGTCGAAGAAGCGACTGAACTCGGCCCACGAGAAGAAGGCCCTCTCCCGCAGCTCCTGCTCCTCCTGCCCCGCCGCTGTGCCGGGTGGAGGCTCCATCCTGGGGCGCCTGGGTGGGAGAGGTGGGGAGGACACCCGGATATCAGATCCATCCTCTCCCGAGGAGGTCTCCCGCTTGCTCCAGTCTCCGCCTGCCTCTTCAGAGCTGACGCCTCTCTCCAGGTGGGACCGGGGGCGGGGGGCGGGGAGCGGGGTGTACCCGTTCATCTCCAGCCCATCTTTGGCCTCCTCCCACGCCCAGCTATATTCCTGGGACAGTTAGAACCTGCCAGGCTGATCTTTTAACTCCAGTTCTGATCTCCTCCTTCATAGACGTACGTGATCCCTAGGACAGCTGCGGTCCCCCTCCCAAAATATGACTCTTAAAACTCAGTTGTGCACCCCTTCCCGAATGTGTTCCCAGCTTCCAAGTAGGATTTCCTCCCCTTCCGGATGTGCCTTCTGCACTTGGCGGTAACCTCTAGAGCCTCCGTTCATCTAGAACGCCCACTTTCATGTGCCTATACGGGGGCTGTAACCCACATCCAGCTGCGAGCCACCCCCCCCCCCCCCGCCCATCTAAAGTTGCTCGATCTCCGGATGTGCTCCGCACCTCCAGTCATAGATCGCTCATCCCCTGTCTTATTCTTCATGCACCTGTGGCTCTCTCCTCCCCAGATGTGTCTCAGATACTAGGCGGCTGTTGCCCCTCTCCCAGATGGGGCCCCATGGGTTGCCACATGCAGCTGTGCCCCTACTTCCAAGAGATGCTCTCGTATCCAGACGTCCTCCCCACATCGAGTATGGCCCCTTCGCATACAGGTGTGTGCCCCATTCACTTATGGCCAATTCTCAAAAGTGTCACCAATATTCATCTGCGGTCCCCATCTGCCCAGATGCACTGCGCGGCCCAGCTGTGGCCCCCTCCTCCCACGTCCAGCTATTATCCTCCCCCAGATTCGCGTCCTCGCCCTAGACGTGGCCCGTTGTCGTTAGACGGGCTGCATCGCCCCAGATGCTCCCCCACGTCCAGCTGCGCCTCCCCCCCTCTTGGAGCCACTCCCAGCCGGCTCCAGGCTCCACAAACCCTCCCAGCCCTGCCAGCCGCGGCACCTCCCATCCCTGCTGTCCCACCCAGCTGTGCCTCTCCCCTCCCCCAGATGTGCACCCTTCCCGCCCCTCCCCACTCACCTACCCGCCCCGGAGCGGCGTCCACCTCCCACAATGCCCCGCGCCGCGGCCCGGCCCGGCCCGGCCCTTGCTCCCGGGATGCCCCGCGCAGCCTCCCGCCTCTCTTCCCGCCGTGCCTCGCGCGGCGGCTCCCACCGAGTCTCCGTTTTCCCGCTGGTCACTCCTCAATCCAGAGCAACAGTGGCTCGGGGCTGTTTCCCAGCGTGCTCTGCGGGAGGGCTCGCCCCACTTCATTCCCTTTCCAGGGAGTCTCACGTCCGGGAGACTACAACTCCCAGCGTCCTCCTCGCGACGGCGGCGCGGACGTCGCCCGGCCCCGCCCCCCGACTCGGCCCCGCCCCCGCCCGCTGAAGTCTGCGCGCGAAGTCGGTGGCGCGAATTTGGGGATTGCCGGGAGATTGCGGGCGAGACGCTCAGGACAGCGGCGCGCGGGCCTGGCGCGAGGCAAGTGGCACCAGCCGGGGCTTCAGGGCTTTTGAACAGCGCGCGTCGGCAACTCGGGGCTCCAGCTTTCGCCGAGTAGGTCGGCTGCAAAGGAGAGGACACGGGGGCACGCTGAGGTGGCCGGGAGCGCGCTGCGTAGGGGAGTGCGCGGGCTGCGGGCCGCCGGAGGGGCGGGACGGCGTCCGTCAGAGGTTCAGGATCAGGTAGAAGGTAGACCGAAAACTCTGCACGGGACAGGATCCGAAGAGAGGCCTGGATGGACTGGACTACCTGAAAGGGGCGTGGTTATATAGTGATGAGGGGGCGGGAAAGGCTGTCGGTGGGCGGGGTCATCCGGAAGTTGGAAGGGCCGGGGAGGCGGGCCCACCTGGAAGGGGGTGGGCCTAGGGAAAAGTTTAATAGTGGGCGGGGCCGGGGAAAAGGTTGAAGGAGAAGGGTCTGCTTTAAGGGGAGAGCCCAGGGAGAAGGAGGTGGGTCGGGGGGTGGGGCAAGTCAGTGGTAAGATCTAGGCCTAAAGCAAAGGCCTTTAGAGGGGGCGGAGTCAAGGGAAGAGACGTGAAGGTGTGGGTTCCAGGGGAGGGGAGCTGAAAGGTCTGGGCTTATTGTGGGCTTCTCAGGTGGCGCTAGTGGTAAAGAACCCGCCGGTCAATGCAGGGGACTTGAAAGACACGGCTTCGATCCCTGGGTCTGGAAGATCTATCTCCTGTTGGAGGGCATAGCAATCCACTCCAGTATTCTTGCCAGGAAAATCCCTACCGTCCATAGGGTCACAAAACTCTGAAACGACTTAGCATACACAACACTGCGCTTGTTATTGCCAGGGATGGTGGAGGGAGGGCTAGAAGAGCTTGGGGAGGGAAGAGAGAAAGATCTTGAGCTCGTTTTATTGGGTCTGAGATATTGGTTAGATATCCAGATGGAGATATCAGCATAGAAAACTAGAAATATGAGTCATTGAATTTTTTTTTTTATATTTATTTACCGACACCAAGGTGAGGGTGTGGTATGAAGAAAGAATTTCAATAGAGCAAAGAGTCAGATGTTTCTAATCCTGCTGATGGGCCAAGATGAGGAACAGGAGGTGAATTCTGGAATTAGCAACCCAGAGATCCTCTATCACCTTGATGAGCAGGGCCAGCTGAGGGATGTGGAGAAACTGGAAGGTTCAAGCAGGGATGGGAGGAGAGAGACTGGAGATGATGCCTTGGGACAGTTCTTTCTATGATGTCTCTGAAAAGGGGAGGAGAGATGGAGTGATAGCTGCTGGAACATGTAGGCTCAAGAGAAGGGATTTTGTTTGATTTTTAAGGTGGGACAAATCACATCAGATTTCTAAATCGATAGGCATGGTCTAATAGAGAAAAGTTGATCTAAAGGAGAGAAAGGAGGGGTTACTGGAGCATAGGGTTTGAGGAGGTGAGAGGGCATGAGATCTGGTGCGCAGGTAAAGGGTCTTATCTCAGATGAGAGCACAGCTGGGTGGTCGAAGTACCTACAGCTGGGATTCGCAGTGGTGCGCAGGCGCAGCAGGAGGTAGATAAGGCGGTGGGAAATTGCCTTTCTTGAGTTTGCTTGCATTTTCTCGGCGGCGGAGGGTGAAGTCGGTGTTGGCGGCTGAAGAAGCCGCTTTGAAGTGTAGCCTGAGAGAGCTGGAGAATTGAATGGTCTTGGGAAATGGAGAGGCTCGGACCGCAACCCGAAGGACTCCTGGCAACCAGTCCTGCTCTCCTCTGCGGGTGCAGGAACAGGGTGGGTGGAAAGTTGGCTTCAATCAGCAGCTTCGGGGTTTTGCCCGGTGAGACGGAGGGCAGGAGGTAGGGCCCAGAGAGCGATGAAAGGTGTAACGGAGTCTGACAGAGTTAAGTAAGGAAGGGAGGACGTGATGGGGAAGGACAGTGAAAAGAGGGAGCATTGACTGGCTTAGAGACTTAGGGAAGGACTGGGGAACATTTGAAGTTGGAATAGAAATAATATTATAGGAATGGAAAAGAGTTTTATTTGAGCCAAACGGAGGATTCTAGCCCAGGAGAAAGCCTTTCAGTTCTGAGGAACTGCTCCAGTGAAGCGTGGTTTTCAGCAGATTTATATCTTGTTAGAACGAAGAGTGGGCCTCCCTGGTGGCTCCATGGTAAAGAATCTCCCTGCAGTGCAGGAGATGCTGGTTGATCCCTGAGCTAGGAAGATTCCCTGGAGAAGGAAATGGCAACCCACTCCAGTATTCTTGCCTGGGAAATCCCATGGACAGAGGAACGTGGGGGCTGCAGCCCATGGGGTTGCAAAAGAGTCAGACACATCTTAGTGACTAAACAACAACAGAGCGAAGAACGTATATCAGATGTGACCAGGGACACATTCTTTCAAGGTTTCAAAAAGAAGAAAAAGATTAACATATACATACAGTCATTATGGCCTGGGCACCTGGGAAAGGAACCTTGTCTTTGAAGAGCTGCTAGTCTGGGTTCATAGGAAGGAAGGCTTTTAGCCCTGTCTTCAGAGTAGACTTTTTATTTCTGGCAAATGCATTCTCTTCTTTAGTTGGTTAAAGCAGCTGCATATTATGTTTGACAGCCCATATGTCAGGTCTGTCAGTGTGAAGTTGGAGCCAAATGATGTAGATTTCAGGGTGATTTCCCCAAACCTCAATTCATGAAAGTTTCTCCTCTCCCATCAGAGGTGTGTGCGTTCCGATCTCCACACAATCAGTGTGTTTTGTGTTTGGATCTCTGCACGAAAATGAGTATTCTCATCAAGTATTTTTGGATGTTCTTTTCAGAAACTGGTGACCAGAGAAGAGGAGGAGGGGGGAGAGAATTCTGATACCATCATGCAGCGAAGTATCATGTAAGGACCCCCACCCCACTCACCAGCAGCTTCTGTTCTCCAAATTCTCTGCTCCTGTCTCTACCTCTGCCCTTAACTTAGAAGAACTTGGATTAGTCTTCATGTAGGAATTTCCAGGAGTTGAGCAGTATGGAGAGTGGGGAGGGGGATTGGAAAACCAGGTGGTGTAGTAACTGAGAATTTTAGTTGCTGCAAGGTTCAGAGACCCTAGCCCTGTGGTTCTCAATCTGGGGCAGTTTTCAACCCCCGCCCCCAGCAGGGACTATCAGACATTCTTGGTTGTCACCACTTGAAGGGAGAGGGGGGCTTCCCTTAGCATCTGGTGGGTAAAGGCAGGGCAGGCTGTTAATATCCTACAGTGCCCCAGGTAGCCCCCCACAACAAAGTATGATCTAGCATAAAGGGCCGGTAATGCCTGGGTGGAAGGGAGGCCCCATTACTTTACCTTTTCCAGAGCACATAACACCTCCAAACATTTCATATTAGCTACTGGCTTCCCTGGTGTCTCAGACAATAAAGAATCTGCCTGCAATGCGGGAGACCCAGATCCTGGGTTGGGAAGATCCCCTGGAGAAGGAAATGGCAACCCACTCCAGTATTCTTGCCTGGAGAATCCCCGTGGACAAAGGAGCCTGGTGGGCTGCAGTCCACGGGGTTGCAAAGAGCTGGACACACTAAGCAATGAACACATTACT